ATTTCTTCTTTTTATCTATTTCTTCATTTTCTAAACAAATGGATTCGCTGCTTTAGGTTAAGGAACGCCCTTCACTCTGGGAGAATCCTTATTCAGCCACCACATCTTGGAAGCCTTGTGCCGAGCTTCGTGATTCTGAAATCATAGGTAACCTTGGTTTATTTTGGGAATATATATACTGTATTCTTTCTACTTTAGCTCTCCCTTTCTTCTTGTACCCTTCAAATGCTTTGAAAGGTTTTGGATTTTGACAGATCTTCCACCTGAAAATGAAACAAATGGCTATATATTCATCCATGCTGAAGGCGGTCTCAATCAGCAGAGAATTGCTGTGAGATATCTTCCTGCCAAACTTCAATGTTATTGATGAAGACGCTTTTTTCTTGCTCTTTTTTCAATTTAACTTCATCCTTTTCTTGCTTGCAGATATGCAATGCGGTTGCTGTGGCTAAAATACTAAATGCAACACTTATTTTGCCAGTTTTAAAGCAAGATCAGATCTGGAAGGACCAAACGTAAGATATGTACTTTTATCAACCATTTACATCCTCAGTGTCTGCATATGAAAATAGAGCTGCTTGAATGCTCTTTTGCTGTTTTTGTCTAATATCTGTACGATGATTGTTTGTCTTAAGTTGCTTAACTCTTAATGCTTAATCATAAATGTAGAACCGATTATCATTGTTGTGATTGTTTGAAAATCATGAACCAAATGAAGCCCTTTGATCAATGTGGCATATATTCTGCCAACCCATCGAGTCATTATAACCACCCTAAGTCGATGTATCTTGGGTTTGCTGCTTGAGAAGTTTTAAGCTTTTTTATTGTTCTACCTATATCAAGCTTTATTTGCCTGACCAAAAATTACAATTTTAGTGATGTGGATGCCTAAGGTTGTAATGTTTATTGTCAGAAAAAGGTTAGGATGTTAAAGAGCTTATAGAAGTCTAGAAAACTTAGAGGACCTTACTATTGAACTGTGGCTTTGCGGTTGATTGTTGAAACTAGTTTCTGCTAGTTATTCATCTGTGTTCTTTACGGTCCAGTTCCTCGACTCCTCTTAGATAAACTGATTAAAATTTTTAGTACACGTGTTTGAAATTTTCATCTTTTGTGTTCTTTCACAATATTATGAAAACAATGCAGGAAATTTGAGGACATTTTTGATGTAGATCATTTCATTAATTACCTGAAGAATGATGTGCAAATTGTTCGTGATATTCCTGATTGGTTTACGGACAAATCAGAGCTATTTACAAGTATAAGGTTCGTCAGTTTGTTCCAATATGCAGCTGGTTTTTCTAGTTTGATTTTTTTTATAGCTTTTGTTAGCTGCACGCAGAATTGAGAGGATTATAGACAACTTTTAATTTATTTCCTTCCATGAAAATATGTTTAAAAATCAGTCAATTCTTTTATTTTGTATGAGCTTTTGTTTATTGAAAAATAAACGAAGGATAGGAAATTACTTAGCAAAGAATTCCAATACAACATGGAGATGCTTCCCAGAGCCTTAGCTTCCTATACATTCCCTTCCATTCCCACTCAAATTTAGTTCCTTGGGGAGATCCTTTTTCCCCTTTCCCCACCCCCCAAGAACTGGCTAAATGCACGGCTGTGGTGGAAAAAGTTGCTCACATATTTTACTTTGATCCCTTCTTGGAAGAAGTAACTTGTAATTGTCATTGATTCTTGGATAAAGTTTATTGCAGACGGACAGTCAAGAACATCCCGAAGTATGCACCAGCACAATTTTACATTGACAATGTACTTCCTCGAATCAAAGAGAAGAAGATAATGGCGCTAAAACCTTTTGTTGATCGGCTTGGGTAATTTGTTAACAAATTTATCTTTGTTTATCTGGGATACCCACTTTTCATGCATGAAATTTCTATCAAATCAATATTCATGGCATTCTGGTCTCAGGTATGACAACGTTCCTTCAGAAATCAACAGGCTAAGGTGCAGAGTAAACTATCACGCTCTTAAATTTCTTCCTGACATAGAGCACATGGCTGATGTATTAGCTTCAAGGATGAGAAGTCGCACAAACAGCTCAAATCCATACATGTAAGTATGGTTATATCTGGAATGTTTCTATAATTATGCATTGAACTCTTGGGTAATGCAATCTGTCTACAGGGCTCTTCATCTGAGGTTTGAGAAAGGAATGGTTGGACTGTCATTTTGTGACTTTGTGGGGACAAGAGAGGAGAAAGTCAAAATGGCAGAATATAGGAAAAAAGAATGGCCACGTAGATATAAGGTGACCTAGAAAGTAATTTGTTTTTCCTTATATATATTCAATGGTGACTAAATATGGAAAAGAGAAAATCATTCATTCAACTTCAACATCAACATCTGTCATTGATTTGCATTATTTGGTTTGCAGAATGGTTCCCACCTGTGGCAACTGGCCCTGCAGAAAAGAAAGGAAGGACGGTGCCCTCTTGAGCCTGGAGAAGTAGCCGTAATTCTTAGAGCAATGGGCTATCCAAAGGAAACTCAAATCTATGTTGCATCCGGACAGGTGTATGGCGGACAGAATAGGATGGCACCACTAAGGAACATGTTCCCAAATCTGGTAAACCATCTTTGACCTCTTTGAAACTTCACTTTTCAATAGAGAAATTCGAGGACTTGCAAAACCATTTCATGTTTCACCACTGCTTAAAATATTTAACTTTAGTAGACGAATGACAGAATGATCGATACCAAGAGTACGAAAATTATATAAAAATAGAGAATCTTTACGTGTTCGCTATCTTTGCCAACGAATTTCTGTAACTTCAATGATTTTCTAAAATATGTCTGAACATGAAATCTTTCCTTTCCATTGACATCAACATTCAACATTCAACTTGTTAATGGTTAGGAACCCGGACTTCTTTCATGTTCTTTAGCTTCAAAATCAAACCACACAATCCTTTTCTTGCCCTCTTTTGACATTTTCATTCCGAGTACCGACAGGTGACGAAGGAAGAGTTAGCTACCAAGGAGGAGTTGGATAGCTTCAGAAAGCACGTCACAAGCTTAGCAGCACTGGACTTCTTAGTCTGCTTGAAGTCGGATGTGTTTGTGATGACCCATGGAGGTAACTTCGCTAAACTGATAATTGGGGCACGCAGATATTTGGGCCACCGTCTAAAATCCATAAAACCAGACAAAGGGCTAATGTCAAAATCCTTTGGAGACCCATACATGGGGTGGGCCCCTTTCGTAGAGGATGTGGTTGTGACCCACCAAACCCGTACTGGATTACCGGAAGAGACCTTTCCCAACTATGACCTATGGGAGAATCCCCTCACCCCATGCATGTGCAGAGCTTAATCAAAACACGTGGGATTTGAACCCCCGATTGTTTTGGAGAATCTCCTTCCTTTCATCAATATCCCATTTATTTCTTTTTGAAAATGGTGTGGCTATTGGTGAAATGGGAGATTGAATAGAATAGTTACTGCCCCCTCGGAGCACACCACACCAATCTTTGTGGATCTGTTTTTTTGTATCCTTAACGAGAGAAAGAACTAAGTTTGATGAGCAGTTTTGTGCCCTAAGAAGGAGTATGGACGGTTTTGTACCTGAAATGTCCAAGGTATCCGGTACGTATAAGCAGCTCCTGGGATGAATTATATGAACTGCCCCAACCCCATGAACCATTTAACTTTCTTCTTTTTCTTCTTCTGTTTGTAGCTCGATTTGATTTCGTTCTTAGTAAATATGTTGATTAACGTCATTGCTCACATCTTATACAATAGCAATTTCAAATTTGTCTACTAGGAAGAATGTTTTTCGATTATAGAATTTGACCCATGGCGTGTTATGTCTTCAGTTATGATGCCAAAGTTGGACGTTTATAACGTGAAGGCTCCCTCAGACTGTGGCATTTAGACCCGTCTAGTTAACTTTCAATTTTGTGTCTTATAGTTATAAGTCTGAACTCTTAATGTTGTTTAGTAGGTCTTTTTCATATTCTAACATTTTTTTTTAAATTAAAACTATTAGACCTAAGTTTGAACTTTTAATTTAAAATATATTTATTAGTTTTTATGAATATTAGAAGAAATAAATGGGTAGGTTATGAAGTCACTTAATATTCCATTTTCACATAAGTTATAAAGTTTATGCCATATTTATTTATCATTAGTTCAAATTCAATATTGGAAAAGTATGAGATAAAAACAAAGGGAAAGTCTATTAAGGTATCCTTATTGTATCAATAATTATTTGATATGAAACTAAATATGGAATGCTGAGTTTTCAAAAGACCAGCTCATTCAAATAAAATAAATAAATTAAAAAAGATCTAACTTTCTTTTCGAGGCCATTTAAAAAAAAAAATTAAATTAAAAAATTAGTTTATAATATATATATAGATATATTTTAATTTTCCATTCACTAAATTCATAATATAATTAAAAAAAAAAAAAACAAAGATACCTCTAAACTTTATTTAAAAAATACTCTTAATTTTCGTGTCAATAATAAGCTTAAGCTTTTAATAAAACGTGTCAATAATAAGCTTAAGCTTTTAATAAAAGTTTAAAAAATACCCTTTAATTTTAAATATGCAAAAATATTTTTACAGTTATTTAAAAAATACCAAAAAATATCTTTGAATTTTTTTAAATTATTTTTTAAAAACTTCACAAATACATTTAAACTTTTTAAAAAACTTTTAACAAACAAAATTGTTAGTACAACGTTTAAAAAATATTTACAAACTTTTAAAAACCTTTATAATTTTTTTTTTTAAAAAATAGACATATAAGTAGAACTTTTTTTAAAAGGTTAAATTATTGCTTTAAAATTTTATAATTATTTTAAAAATATAATACTAACATTTTTTTTTTTTTTAAATTAAAAAGGTGTTAATGAGAGTAATTTTCTTATTTAATTTTAAAATTTTTGTTTAAACAAAATATAAAATTTAGAAATATTTTTATTAATTTAACTAACCATTTATTTTTCAATTTTATAAAGACTTGTAATTCGTTTCTCCAACAAAATAATCGCCCACTGTTTTCTTCTTCCTCCTTCTCCCATGGCGCCAACCCATACCATATCGATCCTCATAACCCGCGTAAACGCAGAGACGGCTGTAGATTGACCATCTCTAATCGACAGCTCGTTCTATCGATTCTTTCCGGTAACGAAATCTTTCTTCTTCTTCCTCTTGGAAATTTTTCTGTGCTGGTTTCTGTTTCAGGATTGTAGTTTCGATTTTCATCTTTTCTCTGTAACCTAACAACCATGAGTTCGATCACATCCTTTAGAAATGCTTCTCCGTACTATAACTGCTTCTCGAAATCATCGAAACGCTATAATCGTTCGAACATTGAGTATCAATCGAAACTCGTGATTGGGAATGTGAAATACTTCCGGTTCAAATCTCTGAAATGCATTCGATATTGTGATTCTGATTCTAATTCTGATTCAAGTTCCTCGATGATAATGCGATCTCAAAAACCTAGCGGAATGATACCTGAACTCGTCGCTGATAAACTTGAACGGCTTGTGAGTGAATTCGAGGCTCTTGAAAAGCCGATTGATCGAGTGAAGAAGCTTTTGCATTACGCTACGTTTCTGTCTCCAATGGATGAATCGGCTCGGGTTTCTGAAAACAGAGTCGCAGGATGTACGGTTGAGGTATGGTTGGAAGTGAAAATGGACGATAATGGAAGGATGAGATTCAAAGCGGACAGCGATTCTGAAATTACAAAAGGATTCTGTTCTTGCTTGATATGGATGCTGAACGGGGCGGAGGCTTCGGAGGTTTTGGCAGTGAAGATTGAGGATTTGGCGGCCATGAATTTGGGGTCTCCGATCAAGGCGCAATCCAGAGTAAATACTTGGCAAAATGTGTTGATTAGTATGCAACAAAGAACCAGTGATTTAGTTTCAGAGAAAAATGGAGAATCGCCTTAGGAGTTCTTGTTCCTTCCCACTGCCATTAATGGCGAAGATTTTGGTATAGACAAGCAAGCAAGTAAATTGGTATAGACAAGCAAGCTTGATTATGTTTGTGGTCCAAATTTGGAAAGGTAATAGTTTCCCGTGACAATAATGGTAAAATTTGTTTAAGAAAAGGAATGTGGTCGGCAAAATAATAAAATCATGCACTTCAATGTGGTGTTTGTTCTTGTTCGAGGTGTGTTGCTTGTAGCTAGCATGCCTATATCATATCAAAACTTTTTTACTTACTCTCGTGTTGTATTACTTATTACATTTTTCTTTTGTCATCGCTTTGGCTCATGTTTTCAATATAATTGACTTTCAAAGTACTTTCTTCTAATAATTTTATCGCCTATGTTTTTAAGAATATTTTCTTTTAAAATGTGACTTGAGATTGACCATACGTCTGAATTGTCTATGAAATACGATTTTTCCTTGACTGATTTGTTTGTTGAGTTAGAACAAGTATTGCACAATCGTTGTCCTGTTGCAGAAAAAAGTGTCATTGTAATAAGTGGTATTAGAATTTGTTAGCTCATAGTCGCGTTAAAGAATGAAACGATGTCGGTGACAAAGCAGAGGCTAAATCGCAAGTTGAACGACACACTAAAATTGAATGTGAAATGTTGTTCCTTAAAAAAGTCCTCGACATAGTTCGTTTTCTGGAAGAACGAGTAGTAGAATTAAATAAATTAAAAATTTGGTGGAATTAGAGCTATGAGCACCCGTTTGGATGGGTTGCCAATCAAAAAACTAATATCTAGGCTTGACTCCCTAAAAAAAAAGAGCAACACGACCAAGTAGCTTAGAACACGGAGGTAGCACTGAGAGCTTTGTTGCACACATGGAAGAACATATTGGACAGCTAGATAAAAAAAGACCATGTTAAAGCTTTAAATAAATGTCATTATGGCAAAGATGACCGAAATGAATACTTGAGTAAACTTGACCATATAGGTCGTAGAAAATCAAATCCTAGGTCAACCCAAGTCAACAAACTGAAAATTTTGGAACTCAAGATCTTTAAAAGAAATGGGGATGCGAAGAAGCTCGAAATTTCGTCTTTAACGTTGAACAATACTTCAAAGCCACGAGGACCTATTCGGAAGAGCTCAAAGCTACCCTAGCCACAATGCATCTCATATATGATGTAAATGGTGACGTTTGAAGGTGACTAGCATGCAAAATGGGTAATGCACCATAAATACGTAGGAAGACCTCAAGAAAGAGTTGAGAACTTAGTTTTTTCTCGAGAATGTAGAATTTATAACGAGGTGAAAACTTCCCAAATTGAAACACAACAAAAGCATCAAGGACTATGTTAAGCAATTCTCGATCTTGATACTCGACATTAGAGATATGTTTGAGAAAGACACATGTTTTGCTTTGTCGAAGGATTGCAACCTTTGACGACTGAGCTGGCGGTCGGAAAGAGCCTACCAACTTTCAAAGGAAGAATACACCATCCCAACACTCTGTGAACAAACTAATGGGTTAGAGGAATGAAGAACCCAATAAACCAAATGGGCTTTTTCGGTCAAAAGTGCATCAACTTCTTGGGACATGTCACCAAACGTGGGCATATCCACATAGATGGTGATAAAATCAAGCTCGTCAAAGAAGGGAGAGTCCCCACCTCGGTGACCAAGGTGCAATCTGCCCAGGACTAGCCAACTATTATCGACTGCTTCATCGAAATATTTTCAAGACGAGCTACCCTACTAACAAAATTATTAAAGAATGCACAGCAATGTCTCCAATTAATTAGAAATTAAAGGACTCAACCGAAATAAAAACAAAATTTAAAGATTTGTATTTAATCCACCTAACTTTCGACTCATGCGGGTGAGTCTATTACTTTATAGAATCCAAAGATGCAATATTTATATTCAAGATTCGAGTTTCAATTATTTAAAAATGGAATTTTGTGAAGTCGTGGGTTTGATGTGACCTCGGAAGGACCAAATGTAACATGCTCGACACAAATATCAATGTCAACATAAGTCCAGATCATGATCATGACAAGAACTTCCTTCCAAATCAAACACAAATGAATGAATTTAATATAGAAATGGTAAAACCAAATTAAATACTTCAAATAATTAAATTTCTCCAAACAAAATTACCCATTGAAGCTTAAAAAAATCCCACAATAACATCTTATCTCCTTCTGTTCCTAAATAAAAACAGAACATCACCACTAACATTTTCAACTCTGTCTCTCTGTCTCTCCCATGGAGTCTCATTCCTTAATGTTTGCTGTCTTGGCACTGTCACTGGCTCCATGCTCTGTTCTGGCCCGAAAGCCCTGCAATTTCCCGGCCATTTTCAACTTCGGCGACTCCAATTCCGACACCGGCGGCCTCTCCGCCCTCTTATGGCAGGCCCCTCCACCCAATGGCATGTCCTATTTCCACGCCCCCGCCGGCCGGTACTGCGACGGCCGCCTCATCGTTGATTTCATGGGTATTTCTTTTCAACTGTTCTAAGATCTAATCATGAAATTTGGTCAATTTTAATGGGGTTTTGTGGTTCATTTCATTTAGCCAAAAGCTTTGGATTGCCTTATCTTAGCGCTTATCTCAATGCATTGGGAGCCAATTTCAGCCACGGAGCCAATTTCGCCACTGCTGCCTCAAGCATTATGCCACAAACCATACCTCTTATGCAGCCCGGTGGTGTTAGCCCCATTTCTCTTGATGTTCAATACAATGAATTCTATGACTTTCGTCGTAGATCCCAGACCGTTCGTAATCGACGTGAGTTCGTGTTTCTCCAAATGGGTCTGCTTAAATTTTGGCAAATTTTGATATCGATCACCATGTTTTATGTTTGAACTTCGTTGTCAGTTGGTGGTTTTTTTAAGCCGTTATTGCCGAAGGAAACGAGCTTCGATCGGGCACTATACACGTTTGATATTGGTCAGAACGATTTGACGAGTGGTTACTTCTCGAATATGACTGTCGAACAAGTTCGAGATTACATCCCTCAAGTGCTCCATCAGTTCTCTACCATTGTCAAGGTTAGTGCCATTTGTAGAATAAACTTGATTTAGTAGAATAAAACACCCGAGTAAGTTTGATAGAATTGTTAGTAGATTTAATAGCTTTACTTCTTTTACTTGTTTCGACATATTTCGATGTTGGATTAAATCTAACTTTTTACACCTTTTTTTATACCTATTTTTAACATGCTTGGTACGTTTTTATAAACAATTTTAATGTAATGCAGTGGGTGCACAGTCAAGGGGGAAGGTTCTTCTGGATCCATAACACAGGCCCAGTGGGGTGCCTTCCATATGTATTGAGTCGAATGCCCGTTTCACCCTCCGACTATGACCAATATGGATGTGCCATTCCTTTCAATGACTTGGCTCAAACTTTCAACCGCGGCCTGAAGAAAGCTGTGGTTGAGCTTCGCGCCGCTTTGCCCGATGCCGCACTTACATACGTCGATGTTTACTCTCTCAAATACGCTCTCGTTAGCCAACATAAAAAACATGGTATTTCGAGGAGATATTATTAAATTTATCATATTCATTTGGAAACTTTATGAGTTTAAACTGAGATGAAATTGAAATGTAGGGTTCGAGTTTCCATTGAGAACGTGTTGTGGGCATGGTGGAAAGTATAACTTTAATGTGAAGCTTGGATGTGGAGGAACGAAACGGGTGAACGGGAATGATGTTTTGATTGGAAAGGCTTGTAAGAAGCCAGAAGTGTATGTGAATTGGGATGGTATACATTATACGGAGGCAGCTAACAAATGGATCTTTAATCAGATCAAAACCGGTGCTTATTCTGATCCACCAATTCCTTTGGAGATGGCTTGTTACAGAGCCTAGTCTAACATAATCTAGTCCGATTATTGTAATGCTTTGCTTTCTAGATATAGGTCGGCTTCATGCATCTCGATGTTTGCCGGAGGTGCTTCTAAGGTATGCCCTTCCGGTGGGTTGTTCTTTTCTCTATCTTTTCCATCCAGTGCCCACATAGCGTCAGAAAATCTGCGTCTTCGATCTCTGTTCGCAATGCAATATATCAGTCTCTTTCTCTTGGCATTTGTTTTTAAGTGTTCATCACCCTTTTTCTCTCTATCTTTTTGGCCTTTTATGCTGACATGAGATATAAACTAGATCATCAAGTTCATTACATCATACAAACCTAGCTGCTCACGCTAAATTCATTATTCGACTGAGATGAACCATAATTTGAGTTGGGCTACAAAGAACTCTACGACTTTCTATCTAAAAGAAGTGTATAAAATCTATCGACGTAGTGCTTAGATACGAATCTTTAACGACCCACTTTTCGAGAGATTTGAACCTCAAACGGCCACTAACTGACCTAACATTTTGAAGTGACGCGATAATTTAAAATAGTTAAAACATGCATATACTAGCTATACATCAGTTTAAGTCAATATAAGTTCAAACAAAAGTGACCAATTTACCCTTTGGGGTTGACTTTGACCGATTTTTCAAAATTTTAACTATTTGTTTTTATATTTTTCTAAACATTTTTCTCTTTTACCTTATCTTGAAATTCCGTCTCTAAGACCCTCAATAAAACCTCAGAAGTTCGTCTTTAAAAGGTAAATTATGTTTTAAATTTCTTGTCGGGGCTTGGGTTTTACGTCGGGGCTCGGGTGTTACAGCTCCCCATGCACAACCTTTCTCAAGAAACTATCTGCAAATGAGAAAAGGAATACATAGAGAGGAAAAAACGGGGAGAGAACGGAAGACGAACGGTTCCTTTCCTCAAAGCTTGACGCCCATTACACCGTGAATCGAGTTAACGTCAAATAGAGAATTGTCCCCAGCATAGGAATCGATGACCATCAGACCATGTACACAGAGGATAAGCAACACATCCTTCATATGATCGTTGCATCGTTTATTTCATCGTCGACAAGACTTGAGTTTCGAGAAGGCTGGAAACATAAACAGATCTATGTTTGTAGGTACTTACGCAGACTTGTACTTGGTATTGTCTGCCAACACATATTTGACCTTGTCGCTCACAATGCATATAT